ACAAATCTAAAATTAAATATTTTACTTAGAAAATATATAGCTAAAATTAATATATAAGTTTTTATTAAAAAAATTAACCTTTTTAATAAAAACACAGGCAAATTTGCTTGTGTTACAATTTAAGGGATAAGCAAACAATTTTTAACTCTATCTACTTTTTTCCTTTTTTTTACTTAGAAAATTTTTCCCTTTCTCAACAATTAGAGACATTTTCTGTGCTACTTACATTCTACTATACTACAATATTAGTGGTGCTTACCAAATTACACCAGAATTACAAATTTTTAATTAAAATTGCACAATTTTTAATATCTGCCTTTTTTGTAACTTTTTATTTATACAATAAGATTCCCTTTTTGGGCTGTATAACAAGTGACTTGTCATGTGACTTGTGTAATATGAAACTACAAATTCCTATTTTTAGGTTATGTAACTTGTGTAATCTAAAATATAGGCCCTATTTTTGTTTATCCCTGAATAATCTATTCTAAATAACCCCCTTTTACTCTTATCTCTTTTTTCAACTTAGAAAAAATTTACAAAAAACTTATTTTTATTACAAATTCTATCTAATAAATAGTCCAAATACCTACTCTAAGTAGCAAAGAACTGGATACTGTTAATCTTAATACTTTCTTTTCTTAGTACTCAAACTGTTATAGAATTTAGATTTACAAAGACAACCTTAATAATTCCAAACCAACTAATAAAAATTTTATTTCTAAAATCTGCACAACCCAACTTTGCTCTACTGGAAAAACTACTCACTTCTTTAAAGCTCCTTTATCTATAGCTACTATAACCTGCTTGTGCAAAAAATTTCATACTCATTTTACCTCTATTATCAAATAACCCACCATCTCTTTAACAGAATCTATTTCTTCTATTAGTCTTCCTATTAAATAAACTTTATCTCAAATTCAAAAACTTATCTCTCTTAATTCTACTCAATGCTAACATGCCTGCTCCAAATGCTAACATCCTATTTTATGCACTTTTTCTCTTGACAAACAACTTTACACATTAGATACTATTGTTATTTTTTCTGATGACAATGTTATTCATAAAGCATGCTACTCTATTGCTACCAATACTATCCAATCTACACTAATTCAATCTACCCTAACTATTTATGCTAAACCACTTACTTTCTTTAATACTCTGATTTTCTCTAACTCTCCAACACAAACCTATACTAGCTTCACTTCCTCTTCTCAACTCTTTATCTCTACAAACTTACCTCCTAATTCTCATCTACTCTCTGTTTCTTACCAATCTTTACCATCTCCTAATCAATCCTCTACTCAACCTTTTACTTCTCCCCAACACCAACATTTGCTCTTGCTTTCTCCCTAGCTAATTTTATCTAGCATACCTAATATTCTTAATCACCTTATTTCTCTGTTATCTCAACTGTATTTTGATTTACTCCCAGCTCACTCTCATTTAGCTTGCTTACTTCTTATAACAACATATCTAAATCCGATACTAATATTGAACTAACTCATTATACTGATACTAATTCTCTAATTACTACTGACTCTGCTATTATATCTTCTTATCCAGACTCCTTAGAACCATTTGATAACAACAAAACTTGTTACTACTATAATTTATATTAATACACCTGCTAAACCCACTCAACTACCTACTTCCAACCAATCATTTATTTAACATACCTTATCTCCTATTTCTCACTCTTTCCAATCTCTAGCTCACCAATTTCTAAACATACTTTCTGACACCATAACTTCAACCAAGATTCAGATACAAAAAACTAAAAACACACTCATACAACAACTAGTGCCTTATATCTCTTCTACTTTACAAATATAAACCTTACTTAAAGCTTCTCCCATACCTATCTTTCAACTTACCTACTCTTCTAACGCTGAAAAAATTAATAAATTATCAAACTTGACTTTATATCCTCAAGTTCAAACCCAAACCTAAACACAAACCCTTTTATACTCCTCGGTTCTTCAAAATAAACCACCCCAAACCAACTTCACTTCTAACAAGCAACCCCAAACCAATTCCAAACAAAATCTCTCATTTGACTGGCTTTATAACTTCTCTATATCAAATAATATAAAACTACATACCAAACTTCAAACTAACTTTTCTTTCTAACTTTTTACTTTCTTAAACAGCATCTTCATAATTTCTATCCAGGCAGCATTCTTAAAGCTGCCACATTCAATAACTCTTAGCCCCTCAAAGTTAGCTTTTACTATATTATCCATGTTATAGCTAAAGAGTATTCTGAATTCTTTATTTAATATATTTATCAAATCAATCCTTCTATAAACCCAGAAGCCTCAATTCTATTTAGATATCTACCTTTATCCCTACATACTACTGAATCTTTAATATTATTATAAGCTTGTCTTTCTTTAGATGCTGGTTAAGTTTGAATATTTTGAATTTCTTCTTTTTTAGCAATATAGTCTAAGATAAGTTTATCTAAAGCATTTTAATCATCATTTTCCATTGAGTAGCTTAATGCTTTCTTAAAATGTCCTATTGAATGCCTATAATCTATTTTTTTTGTAGATAGTTTTGGACCTAAACTTCTTGAACATTTTAAAAATGTCTGAGAATAAGTTTTGTGTGTTATTATTACCTTGATATTGCAGAGATGATGTGCAAATAAATGGCTTATTATATATTAAATCAACATATTTCTAAGCATCATCATATAGCTATCTTGTTGGCATTAACATAACATGAAATAATGCATTCGCATTCTCTACTATTAACTTGAAATAGTGGTAGCAATAATTTCATGTGAAACTAACAATAAATATGTGCACAAATATGTGCTGTTATTAAGTATAACAATATGCTAGTACAAATTTGATACCATGTATGGAATAATCTTCTAGACTTCTTTAATTGCTTCCTTTGAGACTGATTTTAAAAGTTTTTTTAAACACGTTTGCCAATAATTATAAAAATCCTCAATGTTTTTTGTTATTTCTTCATTATGACTCTGATCCTATTATAGAAATTCTTACATTATAACTAATTGTAATATGCAAAAAATAAAAATAAAAACTTGCTATTTGACTATTAATTAGTTCATTTTTATCTAAATCTAATTGATCTTCAAGAGCATAATCAATATCCAACTTTTTACATTTGTATAGTACCGATTCACACATTTGTTTGTTAATTTTTTTAGCATTTTGTGGTGTAAAATACTTTTGAATTACATTATTAACATTACTAAAAAGCTGCTCAATAATAAATAATTGATGATTACTTATTAATTTGTACTTCTATTCCATAAAACTTTTATTTAATTCTTCTCTTTGCATATGAAGCTCTAAAGCTTCAACTACATCTGACATACTAGAGCTTGAAGCAACTGCTTTATAAATAATAGCAATAATTATGACAGATTAAAATGAAATTGAATTAAAATAAAATTTTTCTATTTTTTTAGAAAAATTTAAAATTTTTTGGAGACATTTTTTAGAGTTAGGGTTAGTGTTAGAGTTAGGGTTTAGAGTTAGTTTTATTAATAAAAGAGTATAAGTGGGCTTTATAAGCTTTAAAGATGAGCAAAAAAGATTCACAGTTTCATTTTAATCTGATTTCATTATGATCTGCCACAATAATTGATTCAACACGTAAGATAAATTGCATGCTTGCTGTAAATATTTTACTTATAAATGATTTAGCCCATGACTGCCATGTTAAATAGATAGGATAACTCAAATATTTGTTAGCACTTAGATACTTTTCTAGTAAAGATCAAAATTGGTACTCAAAAACTTCAATACTTAAAGAATTCTGTACTTTCCAAAAATTACAAATAAATTTTTTAAAATTTTTGCTTCCAAGTTTTGCCTTAAGCCATTTAGACAAATTTTGAGACATATGCCAGATACAGTGAATATAATAAGAATTTATATATTTTACTTGACATGCTGTATATATTGCAGCATTCATATCAGTTATTATAACCCTTGGCTCAGAACTAGTTGCACTCAAGGTTTGTTGTAGAACCCATTCATAGCTTTCCTGAGTTTCATCACTTAAAAACGTCTGTGCTGCCAACAGTGATTTACCATCATTATCAATAAGAATGAATAAAGATAGAGAAAAATTGTATTTATTGGTTCTTGAAGTGTTGTCATGTAAAATATCAAGACCATAACATAATTTGGTTTGCTGTTATCCAAAAAATACTACTTAGATGACTACTATCTGTATTTATTAATGGTTGAATGAATATTGTAGAATCTTTTTTTTGCTGTTCAAGTAGAAGTTTTAGTAAGTGTGATACATCAGATTTAACAACATTTTTTTCATGCTTAATTTTTTGGATTGCGTTTGATAAATCTTGTATAAGAAAAAGTTGACTAGAAAACAAAGGCTGTAATAAATTTTTTATAATATAAGCATCACAATAACCATATACAACCACATGTTCAATTTTATTTATTATAGACTTATCAAATTTTTGAAATGCCATGGCAAATCTCAGATTATTAGCACTAATATTATGGTTATGCTAAAATATACAAGTGCTATGTATACAAAATTGCTGGTTTTCAGGTTACTCAAGTTAACGTGCCATTTACAGTCAGTTTTTTTTTTATCCTTTGTTATGTTGTTGCTCTATCAGTTTTGCCTTGTTAGGTTTATACTTTCTAGCATTCTCATATACATATGTTCTTTTTTTAACAGGATCATTTAACAAAATCGAATGAGATTTGTGATATTTAACTCTATACCGGTTTACCACAAATCCTTTCTGGTGGCCATACTCCTTTAAGTAGTGCTCTGCAATTGCCAGAAATTAAATCATGCTCCAACTAATAACTCTATAGGTTGATTTATATAATGCTTTGTAAGATCAAGACCTTCCAACTCCAACCCAAAAACAGGTAAATTAATTTCGCTATTGCTTTTAAAACCTCAAAACATTTAAAAATGCTAAGTGTTAATAATTCACTATATTTTTATACTTTCTGATTAGTATGTTAAACTAACCTTGATTAATATCTCTAATTTCATTTTTCATATTTTCGCCTTCCATATTTTCACCTTCAATAGCTTCACTAACTTCACCTTCTATATCAACAAGCTCAACTTTCACATTACCACCTTCTACAAATTTATCTTTCACAAGTTCAACTTCCACACATTCAACTTCTTTAGACTTATCTTTCAAAGGTTCGAAAGCTTCACCTTCTACATGCTTGGTTTAATTTTCACATATCTATCTTTTATAGTTTCATTCTCTACAAGTTCGTCTTCCATCAATGTACCAAGCCTAGGTTTATCTTGCAGCATAGATTTACCTTCAAATAGTTTCTTGAAATATGCAAGCAAGAGGTTTGTAAAAATAAGTAGACGTATATAAACTCTTTGCAAAAATAAACTATATTATTATTTACTTACATACGAATATATGTTCTCAAGTAATTTCCTGTTTTATATGACGTATGGAGATCTTTATTTATTATTTATGTATATTTATACATAAAGGGTATTTTAGCAAAAAAAAAAAAGCATTGTCTTTCTTTATATTTGTTTACCTCCTGCACAATTAAACTTCATTGCAATCATTGTAATACGATCGCTAATACTCCTAATCTTTGATCTGTATCATGATGCGTTATATCGCACCCACTTTAAATAAATTTACCCTATATTAAATTATATAATATATATATCGATATATAATTTCTATAAATAATATCTTTATAAAGTTGTAGATCTATATAGATTTTATAAAAAAAACAACTTGCTGATGCCAGCTGCCACAACAATTTTGTAACGGATATGATCTACAAAATTTTGGCCATATTACATAATCATTTATATAATTTTTGGCCAGAACTATCTTTTTCCAAAAATAGAAATTTTTAAAAAATAAACTTGCATAATGATAAAATAAGTCCAGGAACATTTTTCACTTAATAGCGGCTATGGTTTCATTAGTAAAATTTTAAGTAACTTCAGCCTAAATTTTTGATCCTCGTTCTTAAACAGTCAAATCTGCTGTAGATTCTCGATTTTGATTGGCTAAGAGTGACGATCAAAAGATTAGCCCGGAATTACTCAATTTTACTAATGAAATCGCAACCGCCTATTAAGTGAAAATTGTTCCTGGGCCAATTTACCATGATGTGGGCTTATTTTTTAAAAATTTCTATATTTGTAAAGAAACAATTAAAAAGTTAATTCCGGCCGGAAATTAGTAAACAATTATGTAATGCGGGCCAAAATTTTGAAGATCCTCAGCCGTTAGCCAATCAAAATCGAGGATCTGCCGTGACAATTTTGTTGCGGCAGCTATGGTTAATATCCAATTCCAAGCTGCACGGTGGCATGGCCATGCTTGTCATTTATTTAGATGGTTTATTAATAATTGGTTAAATAATTTATCGGCTATAACCGGTTATTTGACCATATAACTGATCGTGGTCAACCGGTTATGAGCGACTAACCGATAATGACCGACCGATGACTGACCGTGACCGACCGAACCCATCCCTAAGTATAACCAGCAAAATTCTAAAATAGTAGTTTTTTTAAAAAAAAAAAAAGTGTCGATATACCAATTGTCGGTTAAACCAACTGTCGGTATGACCAGAGTTACATGTAATACTAAATACTATTAACAATTATTAAGAATCGTTCCCTCCGTTCATAAACGGAAACTACACTTTTATGTACTTATAAATTTAGCCAGGAGTCTTAAACTCTCACTGGGAGCTTTTAACTCTCTCCGGGAGCTTTTAACTCCCTCCGGGAGCTCTTAACTCCCTCCGGGAGCCACAGGCTCCACTACGCCATGATAATCATTTCCAGATTAAGAAAGTAATAAAATAATACTGATAATGATAAAATAATAAAATACTAAAAAGAAAAATTTCCGGGCATAACACCAGGCAGCTAATAACGGCCGAGGATCTTCAAATTTTGGCCTATATTATTAATCTCCGACCAGAATTAACTTTTTAATTTTTTCATTACAAAAAATAAAATTGACCCAGGAACAATTTTCACTTATTGGCGGCTGCGATTTCATTAGTAAAATTATGAGTAATTCCGGTCGAATTTTTTTGATTGTTGCTCTTAGCCAATCAAAATCGAGGATCTGCCGCACATTTTTTGCAGAACCTAGGTTCAATAAATAACCAATCGACGACAAGCTGTAACTAGATCTTTTTATCTAAAGTCACCAGTCAGTATAAATCTTTAAAATTGATATCGATTATTTTGATTGGTAAATTATTAGCTGCGGCTGCGCTATCGATCGCACTTCGGGGTCGCCTCATAGAAGGACATTCGTCTGATTGGCTGATGTAAATCAATTGCCCGGGTAACTTATTTATACACCTTAAAGTACTTTTTGGGAACAACAAAAAATCACCGTAAAAGCCATTTTTCGCTTCGATAGAGCATCTATATTCACTATACAAAAATAATCAGTAATAATCAGTATACCTGCGAACATTACTTAGAAGGCAAAATATGCCTACTGTTTATTGGACCATATCAAATTATACTGTAGAGTGAAGGTAACCAGAAATGGTTTCGTCTAAAACTATTTTATTACGTTAGATTTAAATAAACTTTTATTTTTAACTGTTTAATTTGAATAGGAACAAGCTCTTTAAAAAGAAGATCCGGGCTTAATATTTAAATTTGGTCGGTTCTTGTAGTATGTTTGAGCTTGTCAACCGTGAATTAATAGTTAAAGTTTTAATAGGTTTAATTTATATCTTATATGGTAGGTTCTTTAATAGTTTGGGTTTATTAATAATGAATATCTTGTTTACCCACTTTACGCGTATCTATCTATTCTCTACATATTAATTATAAATTCTTTCGCGTGTATTTATTAATTTGTAATCTTCTTTACACGAAGTTTCTTTCGTTTTCTAATATCGTAGTATTAATTAAAAATTATGCATTTGATTGGTTAATTATCACGGGAAATCACGGGTAGATCTACAAAAATCAACCAATCATATAAATGTCTTCCTATAAGGGGCCGTCCTAGTCGACTCATCAATTTAACCTTAAATTTTGATTCTGATCTCTGTTTAGATATTCTATTCCTGGTTTTACATGATCGCGTAACAATCTAGTTTGTTAATCGGTATTTTTGAAACAAGCCACTTATCGCCACAAATAAAATAAAATAAAATAAAATAAAATAAAATAAAATAAAATAAAATAAAACGAATATAAATTAGTAGCATCTAATTTTTGTTCATTTACCTCAGATTAATACTTGCTTCAAGTGTCAAAAATATAATAATCATTTGATCAGAATTAACTAACAGATTGGCCTAAATTAGACACTTATTCAAACCCTAAGTTTAATCTTAACTCAGGCCAAAGCGATATTTGACGCAAGTGTTGATCTGAAGCAAATAAACATTCTTTATTACATTATAAATGCTTTTTCAACACATATTTTTTGTATTTTTTATTTTTTGTTTCTTTTCTTTCTTTCTTTGATTTGTAATGTATTGAAGTTTTTTAATAAAATTTTAATTTATTAGAGTTTTTCTGATTTTGTCCGGTTTTGTTTGTGATAAGATTATAATTTTAGGTTTAAATTATCGAGATTTTATAGTAAAGACTTCTGCTAGTATTAACTTGATTATAGATATAATTATTTTCTATCATATTAATTTTTTTTTTATTCGTGATTCGATATGAGATGATCTACAAAAATTGGCCAATCACTATGAAAGCCCGCTATGTTGGTTAAACCAAGGCTATAATGATATCACACCTAATTTTTTGTACCCAGCATAGCCCTAGTTTTTTAATATCATATGTGTATTATATATATTGCCAATTCTTAATAACAGGTACTCCTGTGTATTGGTAGAGATTTGTTATAATTATAAAAGCTGTGTCTCTACTTCTAGTAATAGCTTTTATGAAACAGTTCTTTCAAATTGTTTCAAGATTCTTTCCAGATATATTTGGTATTTCTATTATTCTAATATTTTAGATTATAATATATTAAAGATATAGATCTAATCAGAACTTGTATACTGTAATACTTCTAAATTAGTTGCTTGGTGTTTAAGAGTAGAGTATACTATTTGCAAATTATATATAAAACTAATGGCAATATTTTTTCTTTTTAAAATTAAAAAAAATTTTATTAAGTAAATTAATTTTAAATTTTTAATAAAGGTTGTAGAGCAGAACTTTCTAATTCTAACAGTAGTAAAATTATTAAAATTGGTTAAATACTCATCAAGATATATATGTTTAAATATTAAGTATTATAAATTGTTTATAAAAATCATATAATGATCATATAACATAAACCAATCAAAATCAATGATTTTGTATTACTACAGAGAATTTGGGCTGACTATGGAAAACTTTACAATATATACAAGTATATTTTTTTAAAATATTTAATATATTAAAAATTTTACCATTATAAAGAATAGATATTAATCTGTATAATATAAAAATTTTATAAAAATTAATTAAACCAGTAAAAAGTTTTATTAATAGCATATTTTTATTTTTTATAAAAATCACGTTGTACTACAAAAATCATATGATAAATAATCTATGTATACTCTACTCTTAAATTTGCTAGTATTCTTCTCTTATTTGTGTATTGTTATACTACCAGCCTGATGCTTTTAGCTATTTCAGATTTTTATATGTACTCCAAGTTTCAGCCAACTCTCTATAAGAATTTATTCTTTTCTGAATTAGGCAAATAGTATATACTAGAGGTATTTCTAACCTATTAAGGCCAATTCTTTACCACAAATTCCTTTGTGTTTGCCACTTTTCTTACTACTTCAAGTTCAAATATAGTTGTATTACCCTTCCAACCAAGATCCCAAGGCCACCTTAGAGTTGTTAATGCTATCTTGTATATTATACCAAAAATTTATATATGCAATCTTTCTATATTAAGACTTTCTATAATACTGCTATTACATATAATGCCAACTTCTTCACAATGAACTTTTTTCCAAAAATTCCTGTTTTAGACTAGTACTTTATTTGGACTTTTCACAGTAAGTATATTCAAATATTCTTAAAAATCACTTCTAGTAAGACTTGAATCTGAAATCTACTTGTGGAGAGTTGAGTATCTAGACCACTAGGCAATGAGATCCCAACTCATAGTGTTGATATTTATTTAATTTATAATTAAGCTATATTTTATATAAATTTTTAATTGTTTCACTTTTTATATTTAGAAATAAATTTTTATTACTATTATTATATCCATTATGCAATATTTATACCAAATAGAGAAAATTAAATAGATATTATTTTTT